TGCCTTTTGTCTTCAAATGCATGAAAATAAAATCGGTTTGAGAAATCCGTAAAATACTTTTAATGATCTAATTTGATGATAAAACGATTACAATGTCTGTTTTTAGATTTAACAAAAAACAAAAAAACAAACAAAAGAAAAACACCTATTTATTCGGTCAGAACCCAAATAACTAGGTGCAACTTTTTCAACATCATCCATAAAGATTAATGAATTTTATTCTTATCTAATCTCATTTTTTTCTTATCACTGGTGTACAGCACTTTGGTCCTGTCCGGTGCATAAAGTGCTTCATAAATAAAGTTGGTATGGTGTGGTATGGTATGGTTTTTAATACTACCACATATAAAATGTAGGCTGAATTTAATAAACTACTTTAGTCTGTTTTCTTTTTACAAGAGTGACGCACAATGCCACGCTTTGCCTTGAATTGTCTGCAAATGGCCACAAGGTGGCGTCGTTGGAGAGAAAACATTTTGATCAACTGTTAGGTTCAAGTTGATCCAGGATTGGCTAATTGTTTAATTTCATTAGTGTGAAATTGATGTAAACATATATACACCCATAAACTTCAATTCTGTCTAATTTATTAGGATTTCTCCATGTAAGGTTTCTTATCTAAACTGAATAACACTGTTATTTTTATTCATGCACTGTCTGTTAGGAGCTTTCTTTTTTTTGTTTAATATTTTAAAGTATCAAAATAATGTGTAAGCCAAATAAAACATATACTCAGAAGTGCAAACCGATACATAAAACTTCTTAAATTTCTCAATGAAGAAGCTGCTCCTTAAGCCCAGAGTCACTAACTCCTCCTTAATGTGTCAGCGGTGTGCATGAGCTGCATCTAAACCTTTCTCAGCAGGGATTTAAATTGTTATTCATTTACAGATTACTGCTGGTGTGCTTTTTTAACGTGTGATCATGTCTGCTATGTAACTGCAGCTGATATAAGCAGGTCTGATCACGCCTGGACTTTATGTACAGTAGGTCGGATTAAATGAGTTGTTCATGCAAGCAAATGACGCTGTCCACAAAGCCTTTTTTTCGGTGTGCGTGTGTATGGGTGTGGGTGATCCCATGGGTGCACATGCAGAACCATATCTGGGGTACAGTGACCAGATGGGAGGAATGCTTGGGACTAATCTATAGAGGTTAATCCATTTAATAACCACCAAGAACGACAGCAGGTTATCTCACAAACATGTTGTTATTCAGGCTGCCAGAGCTTCAGGAATGCCAACACCTTTCAGATGAAACATAACTTTATCAGCTGTGTGACCTCCATCACTTCACAGACTTCAGTGTGTTGAATACAAAGTAGAGCATAAATCTAAGCTAGAAGAAATGTGATGTTTGTTCTTTACATTTTCATTAAAAAGATCCATGGAAGTCAGGCATTTATTTCTGTTTGGCTCCCTTTGCTCTGATTATTCAGAAATAAACAAGTAAAACCATTTTCTTTCAGAAGTCACAAAGTAAGAACAAACTTAGTCCAGCATCCAGCAGTTTAATTTAAGTTTGAATCTGGCTGTTCTCAGTGGTTTGTTAGAGGCAAGCAGTATACCGGTAATAAAGACCAAGGAACAGCAGACAGGTCAGGGGTGAGGCTGTGGAGAAGTTTAAAGCAGGGTTGGATTATATTAACATTCAAAGGTTTAAATATCTCACAGACCTCTGTTCAAAAAACACAGATAAAACAGAAAGAGAAACCCACCAAGGCATGAACATGAGTTTAACAGCTCAGGTGGGAGACTATAGCTACAGGATTACTATTAGATTTGCAATCTACAAATCTTAACTTTATGGAAAAGTAGTGAGAAGAAAGTTATTTCTTAAAGAAAACTATCAGTAGACATATTTTGTTTGTAACAAGCCAATAAGGAGAAAGGAGATCTGTTAAATCATCTTCTCCCAACCTACCTAGGCAGTATTTCAAGAGCGGAGCCCCGCTTGTAGCCTTGGTTAGTCTAACTAGTCTAATCTATTTTAGTCTAACTTTATGTGTGATTTACTATTAAAAGGTTCAGGTTAAAACCTTTTTATTTAAATAAATTAAAATGTAAAGCATCCATTTCCTTTCCATCCATTCTCTGACACGCTTTATCCCAAGCAGGGTGGCGAGGGGTGCTGGTGCCTATCTCCAGCTGTCAACGGGCGAGAGGCGAGGTACACCCTGGGTACACCCTCCCATCGCAGGGCAACACAGAGACAAACAACCATTCACACTCACACCTAGGGAGAAAATTAGAGAAGCCAATTAACCTAACAGTCATGTTTTTGGACTGTGGGAGGAAGTCGAAGTACCCGGAGAAAACCCACGCATGCTCAGGGAGAACATGCAAACTCCATGCAGAAAGACCCCAGGCCTGGAATCGAACCCACAACCTTCTTGCTGCAGGGCAGCAGTGCTACCCACTGCAATAAAAATAGCATTCAAATGTTATTTTCCCAGTAAATGCATTGTTACTGAGCCCTGAATTTAATGTGATCTTGAGTGCTCTAGATTAAGG